TGCCACTCCATCTGTATCCTTCTTCTCAAAGTAAAGCAACTTTAGGGTGTCGTATCTGGGTTGATTTGAAGCATTTGTTAAGGAGATTGGATAATCTTGCAATGGTGGACCATCGGTTTGCTAGTTCTATGCACTTTTATTATTTAACTTACAATTCGATGCATGTGAGGAACCCGCTCTGACGGTTGTCTGAGGATAACGTCTTTTAATTTTCTTTATTTCTCCTAGTGTTTCTTGTTGGGTTTTGAAGTTTTAATTGTCTGCTTTTATTTTAATAAAGTTTGGTTTCAGTTGTACCCATTGTGTCAGTTTTATTCTTGTGTCTACATCAACTTTGTATCAGAGCAAGTTCGTCTTTTTTTTTTTTTTTTTGGGTTTTCTTTCTCTTTTTTTTTTTTTTTTGGAGTCTTTCTCTTTTGTGTTTAACAAACATGGCTAATGAACAAGGGGATTGGCAACAAATAATGCAACACCTGAATGATTTGCAATATCAAATTAATACGGTAGCTGAAGCAATTTCTAATCTAAATGTCAATCAAGCTAACGTTAATCCTAGCATAATATCATCTGGGAGTGAAGAGGAAGAACCTAGAAATCGAAATAGGCGACGAAGAAATTGGGATTACGGGATTAAAATCGACGTTCATCATTTTGAAGGAAAATTGCAACATGAACAATTCATAGAATGGGTAGAGAAAATAGATCAGTTTTTCGAATGGAAAGAAATTCCAGATAATCGAAAGGTTAAATTTGCAAGCTTGAAACTAACGGGGCATGCATTAACTTGGTGGAAAAACTTACAAAGCAATAGATTAAGAAGAGGCAAAGAAAAAATTCAAACTTGGGATAGGATGAAAGGAAAATTTCTACCTTCTGATCATTTAAGAACTATTTTTCAAGAGTTTAACAATTTGCGTCAAGGTAATCAAACTGTAGAAGAATACACTGAAAACTTTTATAAATTGCAAGCCATAAATGATTTGGATGAGTCTGAAGAAAAAACTGTAACGAGATACCTCAATGGACTAAAATGAACAATTCATGATCAACTCAACTTACATCATGTGGTTAAACTAGATGAAGCTTATCGAATGTCTTTGAAAATTGAAAAACAACATTTGCGAGGAAGCAACAAAATTATTGAAACATATAAACGAAGACAAACGGGTGAAACTAAAACTCAGACTCCTATGGGAACTTCGAGTGTAAAAGTTAAAACTGTTGAAAGTCAAAATCAGGAAAAAGGAAAAGGGGTAGCAGGAAATAAACCTTCCGAACAATCTAAGCAAATTGGACCTTTTTACAAATGTGGGTTATATGGTCACTTATCAGCTACTTGCAGGAAGAATAATTCTCCTCGAACTAATTTCATAGAAGGTGAAAATGAGATAGAAGAAGAGGAAGAGAATGAAACAGAATCTGAAAATGAAGCTGAATTAAAAAATTTTGATTTAGAAGGTGATGAAGGAGAACCATTGTTAGTAATTCGATAAGTTTTAACTGCTCAAACTGAAAAGGAAGATAAATGGCTTAGGAGAAACATCTTTAGGACTACATGTACTGTTGAGGGGAAAATTTGTACCCTAATGATTGATAGTGGAAGTTCAGGAAACTTTGTGTCGCAACATATGGTAAAAAAGCTTAAACTGAAGACAAACCCTCTTATTAAATCATATAAAATATCTTGGTTCAAAGAGGGAAGTGAAGTTCCTATAACTAAATAAAGCACTGTGAACTTAACAATTGGAGGAACTTACAAAGATCAAATTGTCTGTGATGTTGTGCCTCTAGAAGTATGTCATATCCTTTTAGGTCATCCATGGTAGTATGATCATAAAACCATCCACGACGGAAAGAAGAACACATATTCTTTCATTAAAGATAACAAAAAATTCACACTCTTTCCACAAAAAAACATTCCTGATCCGGTAATAAAAAAACAAAAAAACTGCGAAATCTTCCACTTCTTAAATGCTTCTGAATACCAGTGAATTAACAAAATCTGATGTGATATATTTGTTTCTTGGAAAAGAGTCTGATTTATCCTTAGAAATCCCAAAAGAGATACAACCTTTGCTTGATGAATTTTCTGATTTAATACTTGATGAATTACCAGCTGGCTTACCTCCAATGAGAAGCATCCAACATCATATTGATCTAATTCCTGGAGCTGCATTGCCGAATCATTCACATTACAGAATGAGTCCAAAAGAACATCAAGAACTTTCTAAGCAAGTGTCTGAACTATTAGAAAAGGGTTTAATCCAAAAAAGTCTAAGTCCTTGTGCTGTGCCTGCTTTACTTCAAAAAAAGATGGAACTTAGAGAATCTGTGTAGATAGTCGAGCCATAAATAAAATAAAAATCAAATATCGATTTCCAATTCCTAGGTTAGACGACATGCTTGATATGCTAAGTGGTGCTAAAATTTTCTCAAAAATTGATTTGAAAAGTGGGTATCATCAGAAAAGAATTAGACCTGGAGATGAATGGAAAACTGCTTTTAAAACTAAAGAAGGCTTATATGAGTGGCTTGTTATGCCTTTTGGTTTGTCCAATGCTCCGAGTACTTTCATGCGAACTATGAATCATGTCTTGCGACCTTTTATTGGAAAATTTGTGGTTGTATATTTTGACGATATTCTGATTTATAACATTCACCAATCTGATCATCTTTTACATGTCAAATAGATTATGGAAACTTTGAGAGAGCAAAAACTGTACATCAATTTGAAGAAATGTTCTTTTATGACTTTGAGTTTAACATTCTTGGGCTCTATTGTGTCTGCTGAAGGAATCAAGGTAGATCCTGTAAAAATCGAGGCAATAAGAAGCTGGCCTGTTCCTAAAAACATTAGTGTGTAAGAGGTTTTCATGGGTTAGCATCTTTTTATCGTCGATTTGTTAAAAACTTCAGTACTGTTATTGCTCATATTACTTATTGCTTAAAGAAAGGAACTTTTAAATGGACCCCTGAAGCTGAAAATACTTTTCAACTGATCAAACTAAAAATGAGTCAAACTCCAATTCTTAGCCTACCAAATTTTGAAAAGGTTTTTGAAGTCGATTGTGATGCTTCACACATTGGTATTGGTGCGAGTCCAGAAGGGAAGCCTATTGCATATTTTAGTGAAAAATTAAATGATGTTCGATCTCGATATACTACTTATGACTTGAAATTTTATGCTATTGTTCAAGCTTTGAAGTTCTGGAGATGTTACTTGATTCATAGAGAATTTATTTTAAACACCGATCATGAGGCTTTGCGATTTTTTGGGTCACAAAAAAATCTAAACAAAAGACACGCCAAATGAGTTTCTTTTTTACAAGAATACACTTTTCATATCAAACATAAAACTGGAGTTTTGAATAAAGTTGCTGATGCTTTAAGCCGAAGATCTCATTTGTTGATAATTGTTTTCCCGACTGTTACTTCTTTTGATTTTTTGAAAGACACTTATACAAATGATTATGATTTTAAAAACATTTGAGATACTTGTTGTGCTTCTGGAACTGATCCTTCTGCTCAACTTGTTATACATCAAGGTTTTTTGTTTAAGGGAACTAGACTTTGCAAATCTAAAGGTTCTTTAAGAGAGCAACTTGTGAAAGAATTGCATAGTGGAGGTTTGGGAGGGCATTTTGGGCAAGGAAAAACAATTGCTTTAGTTTAAGAAAAATATTTCTGGCCTTGCATTAGAAAAGACATTGCTAAACAGGTAAAACAATGCAAGGTATGTCAAGCTTTTAAAAGAACTACACAAAATTCTAGTTTGTATACTCCTCTGCCTATTCCAAACAAACCTTGGGAGGATATTTCTATGGATTTCATTTTAGGCTTGCCGGTTACTCTTCAAAAATTTGATTCTATTTTTGTGGTTGTGGATCGATTTAGTAAAATGGCACATTTTATTCCATGTAAGAGAACTTCTAATGCTTCTTACATCGTTGATTTGTTTTTTAAAGAAATTGTACGTCTGCATTGTAACACCCCACAGTTCCCCTAAACAGTAAAGTAGTGTAACAAGAATAAGCATACATTTCCATCACTAAACATCTCATTATGATTTTATTACATTAAGACTTCATATAAAAGGTCATATAAACTTCATCTAATACTATAAAGGAAACATGTACCAATTTCTAAGTTTCATCCAAAACCCAGTACAGAGCCACTAAGGAAAACCAAATAATTCATAGTAATACATGTCTAATTTGCTTTCATACCTTAAAAATTAAACTTACTAACAGAAGGTAACCTAACATGAAAAGAAGAAACACTTGCATAAATTAGCTTGCGTCAATATTCTCTTTTCCATTTCCTGTAACAACAGCCAGAAGAATGTTCTGGTGAGCTATGAGGCTCAGCAAGTAATGCAGGATTAATTAACAATTAAAATAATATAACATGAATAATTACAACTTTGAAAATTATTATTGAAACATTACAAGTCTTGATCAATATTATGCTTTGCTATCTTTTAAATCTTTGTTGAATATAAATTTTAGTTTTTTTTTTTATCTCTTGTAAGTATCTTAGAACCTTCTCTCTTATAAATAAAATCCAAGGGAGCCGATTGCTTATTAGCTGAAGAACTCTGAACACATTACAACCCTGGTCTTTGTTTGATCCCTAAATAACAGATATTTCATAAAGCATAACTCACTAATAAAAGAAAATAGTTAATTAATTACGCGACTGATATCAAAATTAGGTCTTGATTGAACAATCGTCAAGAGATGATTAAATTTGAATATGTAACATCAAAAATGGAAGTAAACTGATAGTTTTAAATATAAAATTTCAGCACTCTTGAAATAGGTTAAAAAAAAATAATTGAAGTGAAAATGTATGTATCAAAGTTATAAACAAGGTCCTAAGAATAAATGAACCCCATTCCTTGTCAAAATAATTGCTGCAATTTCTTCAATGAAAACAACAATATAAATAATTAAACACCAATGTTCCTCAGTGAGTAAATTACTAGAGAGAATCAGTACTTGAAAATGGAGGTGAGACCCAGGGAAAAAGCAAGGATATATCCATGTATCGGGTCAGAACCTGAACAAGTGCACAATTAAGGATTAAGATCAACACAGTTATTAAGGAAAATAAGGTCCCATGATGCATTATAGGTAAATAGAAAGCTCAAAAGACAGTTATGATATTTGGAATCAGATTAAAGACACTGCTGAACTTTACACAATGTTACAAACAATCTAAATTTAACAATAATCCAGCAGGAGTGTTATTTCTCCAAATTTAGGAGAAAATTTAAATAAAAGGCCTTTCAACCTTGCATTGTGGGTAAGGGAGTCCAATGTGACTCACTAGGTGTCATGTATTAATTGGAATGTAAAAATGTTAAACTCAGGTCCTTTCATTTAAGCCTAATCAATCATGTTGATCATTATACATAGCTGATATGTATTATGAAATTTACATAAATATTGACGGGCATTGATTCATTATGATATATATATATATATATATACATAACTAGTGCAAAATCTTCAAGTCACCTTGCATTATATATATATATATATATATATATATATATATATATATATATTAAAGTTCACTATAATGAATACGGCAAAATATAAGTTAAAAGTTAAATCTGAAACACAGTATGTTTGGGGCTCAGCTACTAGTGAACGACTTATTCTCCTTCTTTTTAATGATTGGAAGCTTGACCAAATTCTTAATATAACTATGATATCATTAGTCATGACATGTACAAACAATTTTAAGGAACAATGTAGATGAACCCATTGTCAATTTTGTTCAATAAATTTTTAAGGGTTCATAAAAATTTAATTGAAATAATTTACACCACCTTTCTGAAGAAACTGAATCAGCTTATTAAGAATAAGTGGGCTGAGAAAACCAATGCCATCATTTACCATCTGCAAAAATTTTAAACAAAAGCATGACTTAAGCTGGAAGTCTGTGCACCTAATTTAAACCAAGAGAATAAAAAAAATAAGGCCAGCATATAATGAGTAGCAAAGGTACCTAGAGAAATGTGGACTTCAGATTAGCATGTATAACAATGTAGATAAAAATGACAAATAATAAATCATAGCAATTAACTTATTTTACATGAAATTTTACTATCGTCAAGGCATTTAGATAAAACTTCATAATTCAGTAAAAAGGCATATCAATGAATCTTAAAATACATCGAGAATCTCAAGTATAGCGTGTTGCAGAATCTGTTAGACAAATACAATCAATATCATCTGTAAGTACAGAGGAGCACATGTTGCAAATATTTTAGGTGCTTGCTAACATAATATTGATTTAGGCTTCGTTTGGGACGGTTTTTTTGTTACTTCTTAAAGCAGCTTTTTAGTTTAAAAATTAAATTTTTATACTAGAAAGCTTCTTTAAGAAGCAATAAAAAAGACGTCCCAAACGAAGCCTTAATTTACCGCAGGAGAAAGCAGGTCTGCGCCCACTTAGGAAATTCTGTCAAGCTTAAGCTCAAGCCGCAATAACAGAGGATATTGCATTCCACTATAAGCTAAAAGAGCTTCATCTAGAATCAAATCTTGGGGATAATATATAGCATATGGTGGTCTGATAGAAGCCTTGGTTATAAAATTCTTACCAAAGAACATCAGAAACAATGGCATTTTAGAACAATAGGCTTAATCAAATGGACTGCCTGCAAATATTCGAGTCACCAGTTTTTTATTGCTAACCACCCAAGAAAAGAAAGATCTTAATAAAACATTTAGAAACCAAGTTTTCCTTGTTGCCTGAATGACACTCGTTTGGTGCACACTGAACTACCAATTCATGTTTAAGTTATATTCTGTTTACACCTGAGATCACAACCTTAAAAAGTTCATCCAGTTTGAATAGAGAGTAATCCTGTCCTACAATCCACATCCAATAAAATAAAATGTTGGTGTAAAAAGAGCAAGAAATATTACAAACTTCCTATTGCTCCATGAAATAAAATATGGCTTAAAAAAAGAGCTAATATATGGTTCTCTCGAACAATGTACTCTTAAGATTTCTAATGTTAACTAACAAGTATGAGCAAAAGTGTCAATATCCACCTATCATTTGCAATACATCATAGCATATAAAGAAAAAAGGTACCTTAAGTAATCCTAAACGCAAGTAAGGCCAACCATATGCATGAAACATGGCTCTTAGCAAAGATCGATCAGTCTTTGGCATGCATTTTTCAGCCATCCAATGCCTTAACAAGGAATTATGACAAGAAGGCACAAGTTCATTTGGTAACTGAACTAAATCTTCAAAGTCAAGCTGCTTTTGGGCACCAAGATCCAGCATTGCATTGGCAAACTTAAAAGTTAAAGTTTCCCAGAAGCTGCAGCTATTCTGTTCCTGTAAAAGTAAACAAAAAGGAAAATATATCTCAATGAGGGGACAAAAAGCAATCATTGAAGAAAACTGAGGTGCACGTTTAAAGAAATAAGAAATTTCCATTACATGCTTGTTATTAGCGAATACAGAGCTCTCAGTTAAGCAAATGAGGACATAATTGAAGATGGAAGCACATGTCCAAGTGATCTAGAAGCTTAAGAAAAAAAAAAAAAAGCAACTCCAAGAATTGCAAAAAAATAAAAATTAGTTCTAACCATAAAAAAACAGATATATAACTTTTAATATGTGCAGATCATCTAAAAGAGTTTATGCAGCTTTTTCCAATATCTAGGAACAGGACCATGAAAACTTCATAATTATTCATTTCCATTAAGATCTGAATGCAATGCAGTTAAAGATTTTTTATGAAAGCTTCAGGCTAGATCTTCCAGAGAAATTTATACAATGTTACATTAATCATACAAATTCCTTCTCTAAATATTCCATTTAGTAAAATATTCCCAAACATATCTACAATATCATCAACATCACTAGCCTTTCGGCTGTTTGGGGCCATTTTCTGAATCCTTCTCCAATGCTATGTAGTCCTAATTTCTTCTACACACCACAGCAGTGCATATTTTGTTCCCCCTCATACATGATCAAATTACCCAAGTCTATTTTTCAATGCCTTATCTTCAATAGAAACTACTTCGACCGTACCTCTAATCTGATCAATTCACGCTTTCTCTATCATAATTTGATCACAAATTCATTTTAACATTCTCATTTCTATCCGAGTCAATTTGACAATCATCTTCACAATTTGCAACATTTGGATCAACAAGAACCTAGCATAAAACAATGGCCTTCCGATGACCCGATTAGGAAAGTAGATGGATTAGATTTGACTTATGTTAAGAAAGGTAGAGGTAGACCTAAAAAATCTTAGTTAGAAAATTTTAGAAATGACATTTCTTTATTAGATTTAAATGAGAATTTAACTATTAACAGGACAAAAAAAAAACTATTAACAGGACACAATGGAAAAAAATGATACATGTAGCCGACCCGACATTGTGGGATAACGGCTTGATGTTGATGTTGTAGTGTGTGTGTGTATTAGAGCTTTAGAACCTTGGGTTTACTACAAAATAGACCAAAGGTATGCAACTCAATTTATATTTCACTTAATCTTCCAACAATATTAATTATAGCTATCAATTTAGCATTTGAGTTGCATACCATATATTGAACCTTTGTTATACTAGTTTTCACCTTTTTTCTTCTTCTTTTTTTTCCATTTATTAGCCTTAAACTTAAAAGAAGAGATTTAACCTATCAAAATTATATTATTTGCAAATACTATTCACTAAGATTCCTCAATTTGATTATCAATGCAAAAATCTCCAAAACCAATGTAATGATCGGTTGACGTAGTCGATTAGTTCATTAGGACATGCGAGCTAGTTCCATCCCATAACAAAAACATAAAAGAGAGCTTGCAGCAGGGAAAAAAAAGGGAGATCGAGCAACGTTAAGAGTTATAGTTCCGTTAATATAGAGAAAAAGACAAAGGAATCAATCAAGAGATGGAGGGAGGAGACAAGACATATCTTCAAATGGGAGATAAGCGAGAGTGAACAAGTGGAGAGGGACGGAGATGAATGATCAATTGCGGTCTATAGAGAGAAAGAAAAAGCAAGGAGAAAGGGGAAGAGTGCAGGGAACAGGGGCGTTACAGATGAAGCTACACTCGATAGAGAGAGAAAGGAGGAGACAAAGAGAAAGAGGGAGAGGAAGAAAGTCAAGACAAGCAATTGAAGTTTTATATAAGACGATACTAAGCTTTAAGAGATGACACATACATCCACATCAAATAGAGACATTGAGAAGTGATGTAATCAAAAATTTGGGAAGGGCCCCAAATTTTTTATCACAAAAGAAAACTCATTCTAGATATTAGAAGATTACAAGAAATCACAAAAACTAGACAAATTAGACAAAAACAAACTTTTTATAAGATAAAAGATTATTACAAACTTGGATAGTGGATACAACACCTTACAAATACCTTACAAACTTGAACACAAACAAACCTAAAGGAGCTTCATTCCATTAGAAGAAGAATACAAGTGGGGTGTAAACATGTGGGTAGAAGAAAGAGATAAGAAGCCGAGAAGAAATGGAGACAAGCTCGCAAGCTTTCTCAAAGAGGAGAGGAAGGAGAAAAATTGGACAAAGCTCGCAAGCTTTTCCAAACAATAAACCCGCAGGTTTAGGCTCCAAAAATCACTTACATATCCATCTCTAAACATACAAAACAGTCCCTATTTATAGGTAAGAAAGGGAATACAAACAGCCATTAAAACACATTAATATTTTAATTAAAAATAGGAAAATGAATGGCCAACAGCCACAAAACACAAATTCCCAAACAGCACAGCAAACAGAAAAGGAATATCACGAAACCAAGCAGAAAACAGCAAAACCGAACAGTCCAGCACATGGAACCAAGCAGCCAACCCGTGGAACCAAGCAGCAATTCACGGGAACCAAGCAGGGAACGGTGAAACCGAGCAGCCCAGCACAGGAATCAAGCAGGGAACCCAAAACTGAACATCCATCCACGAAACCAAGGGGGCAAAGGCATGGAATTTCTCCCAACACAGGGAAATCAACAGCCAGTCACGGAAATCCAAGAGACAAAGCACAGGAAACCAACAGCCATATTCGAAAATCCAAGGGGCATTGCACGGGAAAACAACAAGCACAAGGAAATGAAAAGACAAAGGGAAGTAGAAGAGGTTCTAGTGGAGAAATTAAAGAGACACAAGAAGAAACCAAAGGGGGGATGAATCTAGATTTGCCAATAAACACACAAATTATGAGCTGGATTAAGTAGTGGGAAAGCATTTATGAGCTGAAACATAAGAAAAGGCTCATTAATGAGCTGGCTCAAGTAGAACTTACAAAAAATTTCAACTCAACTTGTTTTGACCCCCCCCCCCCCCCCCCTCCCCCCCCCCCCCACCCTTTGCCTACATCAGACTCCCCTACTTGAAAAACTCATCACCCGATGAGTTGCCTTTTGCTTTCTTCTGAGGAGGCGAAGACGGTGCATCCAGTTCTTGAATTTTTGCTTCAAATTTCTTCTTGCTCTTTCTCCAACTGTCTTTGAAGATACTTCTTCCTTTTCTCGTATTTATCATCACATAAGAACATGTGATATTGAAGTTTGTATAATCTGTCTTGTAGTGGATCTGTTGAATCACCTTCTGTTGGAATCCATCTGTCCATCGGAAGAGGGACATCAAGATTTTCTGGATTGTTTTCTTCTTTGACTGAATCGATCTTTCTGTCTTTTTCCATTTTTTTCTAAAAAAAAAGACTCAACAAAACAAGACTCACAAACAAAACTTACACAATAACTACTATGACTTACCACGATTTACTTGACAAACCGACTCATAAACCCAGGACTTACTAACTTGCTCTGATACCAAATTGATGTAAGCAAAAATTTAGGAAGGGCCCCAAATTTTTGATTAAAAAAAGAAGACTCTTCCTAGATAATAAAAAGATACACCAAATTACCAAAATCTGATAAAATACGACAAAAACAAACTTTAATATTATAAAAGATGATTACAAGACGCTTACAACTCTGGACGCAAACAAACGACGCAATAAAGACAAACACCTAAAGAAGCTTTGCTTTGAGAAGAAGGATACAGATGGAATGAAACTTGCGGAGAGACGAAAGAGGTTAGAAGCCCGAGAAGAAAGAGGAGAAGCTCGCAAGCTTTCCTAGAGGAGAAGGAGAATGGAACAAGCTCGCAAGCTTTTCCACGATGAAAACCCGCAGGTTCTATCCAAAAATCATAATCATCACCTTAACCATCAAACTCTCTAAAACAGCCACATTAACCATCTATATAGGCACAAAAGAGGAATATAAACAGCCATAAACATTAATTAAAAGCTATTAAATTAGGGAATATGAAATGCCAACAGCCACCACACATAAATTCCCAAACGGCACAGCAAACAGAGAAGGAATATCACGGAACCAAGCAGAAAACAGCAAAACCGAACAGCCCAGCACATGGAACGAAGCAGCCAACCCGTGGAACCAAGCAGCAATTCATGGGAACCAAGCAGGGAACGGTGAAACCGAGCTGCTCAGCACAGGAATCAAGCAGGGAACCGAAAACCGAACAGCCATCCACAGAACCAAGGGGGGCAAAGGCACGGAATTTCTCCCAGCACAGGGAAATAAACAGCATATTCGAAAATCCAAGGGACATTGCACGGGAAAACAGCAAGCACAAGGAAAAGAAAAGACAAAGGGAAGGAGAAGAGGTTCTAGTGGAGAAATTAAAGAGACACAAGAAGAAACCAAAGGGGGAATGAATCTAGATTTGCCAATAAACACACAAATTATGAGCTGGATTAAGTAGTGGGAAAGCATTTATGAGCTGAAACATAAGAAGAGGCTCATTAATGAGCTGGCTCAAGTAGAACTTACAAAAAATTTCAACTCAACTTGTTTTGATATCTTCAAATGGGAGATAAGCGAGAGTGAACAAGTGGAGAGGGACTGAGATGAATGATCGATTGCGGTCTATAGAGAGAAAGAAAAAAGCATGGAGAAAGGGGAAGAGTGCAGGGGACGGGCATTACAGATGAAGCTACCCTCGACAGAGAGAGAAAGGAGGAGACAAAGAGGAAGAGGAAGAGGAAGAGGTAGAGGAAGAGGGAGAGGGAGATATTCAAGACAAGCAATTGAAGTTTTATATAAGACGATACTGAGCTTTATGAGATGACACATACATCCCCTTCAAATAGAGACATTGAGTAAGGTATTATGGTTATCTTTATTTGATTTTCTCTAGATATGAAATAAGATAATATCATTTTTCAATATCTATTATTTCATATTAATAAGCTTAATTTAATATTCTGATCGCAAAGAAATTGTGTCAGCACTTCAGAGCATTTTGGAAAACAAAAGGTAAACTTAAAAAAACGTTTGAATTTTCTTGTATAAATTGGGTTGGAAACCTAAGGTTAGTAATTACAATTATGTGAGGAAGAGAAAGAGGAAGTGCAAACCTAACGAAAGAAGATTGATAAAAGAATAACCAATGCATGTGAATTAAACAGAAATTAGAAAATTTATCTGATGAAATAGGAAATTCAAAATATGATTTTATGGAGGATAGTACTTTCTATATGCTAACACTTGATTAGTAAAAAAGGATTAGATTGCTTGGGGTGAAAATGAAGAGAATGAGATGACAAAGTAGTGGTTTAAAACTGGTGTATAAATGAATAGGTGATTACTTTTTTTTATTTTTGGCAATTTCAAATTCTTATTCCAAGCTTGACGCAATGAATGGGCACGTACTTTCATATGCTAATGTAACCATTAAATTATTATAAGGATGCGTCATTTCCTAGCAAAATATTTCATATTGTTAAAATATAGATGAAATGTATTTTATTTCAATCACATGAATTGTAAATTTTAAAAGTAGTTGTTTATATCAAAGGAGACCAAGGAAAGATTCATACCCATACAAAGTAGGAGGCACGAAGCTGGAAGCCTGGAACAATTAAAAGAATAAATATTTGTAAGTGGCAAGCCAAATTGTAGCAGCAAGGGCATTAACCTAGGCACCCACACTGGAGTCAGCATATGTGCCAACATCACATGGACACCATAAAACATCAAAAGCATGCCACTGGCACAATGCGGAGAGGGATCTGTGAGCAGGAGCAAAGGGTTGAATCAAACGAAAAGCGCACTGTGGGTATGAAGCAGAGCAAGTTGAATGCAAGCGCGGAGAGGGTGTAACGCCGCGCAAGTGAGCACGATAGAAAGTGAATTAATGTCCGACATGGAGAAAATAATGGAGGAAAATTCCAAGTATATTAGGATTAAAGTTAGAACTCAAATTAATAATTCAAGTTTTAATTCAAATTCTGATTTAAAATTCAAAAGGAGGATAAGTTTGAAAATTTTCGTGCAAGAAATTTAGAGAAGATTGTTGAGGGAATTATGAAGAATATTGTGGTGAAAAATATGGAGGATATGGATAAAATAGTTTAGCTTAAAAAGGGAAAGAAATAAATCAATGGATACAACCAAATTTCAAATTTGATTTTTCCACATTTCAAAACTTCCGAAATCATTTTTTTATTAAAATTCTTAATTTTATCCTTTTTTTTTTTTTGTTGGATTTTTTTTTTGGAGTTTTCTACAACTAAACGAATGAAATAGTGGAATGAGGTGGTCTCAATTTGAACCAAAGGAAAAAGGCTCTGGATGCAATAGCAATGAAAACCATTAATACAATAAAAAAACTATTACTGAAAAAAAAATTTGAAATCCTAAATGTGTAAGATCTCACAAACCTAAATTGTTGTGGGATAATTTTTTCAAATTCATGTGGATAACATATGTAGTGAGAGACCAAAGAGATTAAGAAGAGAAGAAAGTGATGTCATGATATCTTAAAATCTCAAGGTTGAAATACACATTAATTTCTTCATTAAAAAGACCATGGATCTAGGAACTTTGACCCAGATACCAAATTATGCTGAGTGGGGCAGTAGAAGCAGAGATAGTGTTAGACTTCTAATGCCTTTATTTGTTGAGAAGAAAAGAATCCGATGAAGAGAGAGAATTAGGCAAGTAAGAAGAAATAAGAGATTAAGAGGAAGTGATGGATAAATGCCTCAAAAGGAGAGAGGCAAAACTGTTAGAAACTTAAATGCCACCTTGGTTGATGGGAAGACGCAAAGCAATAAAAAAAAACATGAGAAAATTTTCAATAACAACTGATGCAAACAGAATACAACTATCAAACCCAACAAAGTAACAAAACAGCCAAGGGAAAAAAGTAAGTAATAACAAATGTACTGTCATAGAAGACATACCAAACCTCCTGTTGAACATTTATTGTCAATATTGGACGAGATAAGTAGATCCTCAACAGAATTGAAGTTCCTGAGAAAATTCCAAAGCTCAATTTATTAGCTTGAATAATGCTTTAATTAGAAAAACTCCTCATGTAAAAGTTACTGCAGTTCATATCTCCATTTTTTCTGCTTCCCCTTCATGTCACAATACAATTGACAGTCCTATCATTCTGGAAGAACAGTCCTGATGCTCTATAAATATTCATCATAGCGCTAGTCTCAAACAAAAATATCCTTTCATGGCAATATTACGATAGTTGTTAGTGAAACAAAGACAATCCTCGCAAACATCATAAGGGCAGTCACGTAGAGGTAGAAATATCAGCCACAGTTGAAGAAGGTTGAGAGGGTAATGATATATGTATGATAGATGATGTAGACATGACCAGAACCTGAAAGGCCGTGAGTCTGGGGACTTTATTGGCAAAAATGTGGAAAGGACAAAAGGGAAAATCTTCCAGCAATAGATGAAAAATGCTTGACAATCACAAAGGCTCGTAGTCTCAGACTCCTAAAAAGCTCCAAAAGATGAGACATCCACCTGTGTAAAATGGTCCATTCTCCAAGCCATATGCTCTTTATGTAATAACTTAAAATATACAATAAGATCAATGATTTTAAACAAAAATATACCAAACAACCTAGTAGATAAATTCAATTGCCCTTTTATAAATGTCAGACTATAGAACTACAACTATGGTTAAGAAATGGATTGTGTATCATCTCCTTCACCAAAAAGAACTACTACTATGATGAAGTCAAAATCATCGAAAGCATTCTATGCATAGCAAGAAGAATGCTCACAAAATTTCATTTGATTTTACTGCTAATTTATGAATCGTCATCTCATTCTTTGAACCTCACTCTGGTGATTTTTTTATGATAAACTCATTAGGAAAAGAAAATATCAATACAGTGATATAGGCAAGCTTTGGGCTGCTTGCTGCCTCTTAGTTTGGGCCTTTGCTGCTCTCGGGTTGGACTTTGGCTGCTTTGATTTTGAGCTAAAATGATGAGATCTTCTTGGGTTTTAGCTCATTAATGCTTGATCTAATGTTAGCTCATTAATATGAGGAGCTATTGCACTTGAAAGCTCATTATGTAGAGTTAAATCTTGTTTCTTCCCCTTCTTGTGTCTCCTTAGTTTCTTCCTTATGAATAATGGTTGTGGGCTGGTTGCCTTTTCGGTTTTCTCCCTGGCTGCTTTCCCGTGACTTCCTCTGTCCCGTTTCCTGTGTTGGCTCTTCGGGTCCCTCCCTGGATGTGTTCCCGTGGTTCCCTGGCTGTGTCTCGTGGCTTCTCTTCCCAGTTCTTGGGCTGATTTTTTGTTGTTGTTTTGTGGTGTTTATTGCCCTTCCTCTTCCCCTTAGCTGATTGGTTTAAATAAATGTTTATGTGGCTATTTGGCTGCCCTTTTATCCTATAAATATGTGATGTTTAGAGAGTTTTTAATAAGATATTATGGTGATGATTTTTGGAAGAAAACATGTGGTTTTTGTTTGATAGCTTGTGAGCTATGTATCCCCTTCTTCTTCTTCTTCTAGGATAACTTGCGAGTTATGCCTTCTTCGTCTCGGCTTCTAATTTTCTTCTTCTCTCCGCAAGTTTGACGTCACTTGTATCCTTCTTCTCAAAGCAATGGAAGAAATGCAATTTTAGGAAGTCGTATGTGTTGTTTTATTTTTATTTAATAAGTTTGTAAGCGTCCTTTGTTGTAAGTGTCTTTATATGATATAAAAGGTGTTTTTTTGGGAATTTTGTGTCGTTTCTATTTCCTAGGAAGGTCTAGTTTTTGCTGGCAAAAATTTGGGGCTTTTTCCCAAATTTTTGCTTGCATCATACAAGATACAAGATAGTGTAGGAAAAAAATGTCCCAAAAGTAAAAAACCAAAACAAAAATAAAAACTAAGTTAACAATAGGCTGCGAACAAAAGTTAAATGTCAGAAGTTCTATTATTTTTTTTCATTCCAATTTACCCAATGAATAGCTAAGAAGAATAAAGACCGTGACTTCAAAGTTTTCCTTGATATGCATATGCCTCCACTTAGTGAGCAAAGAAATATGGGGGATTTACATACATAGCACCCAAAACTATCATATTTACATATTTAACACAAACTTCATTATATATAAAATACAACACTCCATTAACAAAATTCTCAACATGCATCAGGTTGCAACACCACACAACCACACTTTCTTCATCTCTGCCTACCCCAGTTGCTGCTATCATTGGCACCGCTAGACTTCCCTCCATCTTTCCCTTATCTCCTTCCTATTTCGCCTCCACCCCCTCAAAGATATGTCACTTCCCTTCCTCCTCTCCCTCTTCATCTTCCTTCTCCTACACTACAGGAAAAACTGGTAGTTCCGACAAACTTTCAGACGGATAGACGGCCGCCGGAAATATCAGCGGTATTTTTGACGGAAGCTATCCGCCGGGGTTTTCGGGGACAATCTATCGAGTAATTCGCTAGTTTACTTAAAGCCGGCGAAATGTATCGGAGGAAATTTCTCTGAAACAATTCCGGCAGCTATGCTGGCGAAATATTAATCGGCTTACTTAAATGTGTCGAATTAGTTCCGGCGGAAGTTCCGCCAGAAATGCTGCCGGAGAAAACCCTATTTCGGACCCGACCCATCTTCCCTCCAATTACGCGATCTTCTGCCTCACGAGATTTCTCCTCCCATTCTCGCACTCATGAAAATCGTCTCCCGTGGGTTCGTTGTCATTCGTTGTTCGTTCACCGCCGATGACCGTTCCCGCTCAATCATCATCAATGCTCCGCTCTCGTGTTTATCAAAACATCTAGTGTGTGGTAAGTTGTGTAGATGCTATAGTATTTATTAATCTGGTTTTTCGTTTTGATTTTAAGAAGATGTTTAATTTTTATTCTATGAGTGCTTTGAATTTAAGTGGTTATGGTTATAAATAACTCTGAGTGAACAGTATCACCCTAACATGAACAATGTCATTTAAAGTGTTCTAAGATAGTGAGATGTACATGTCATATCAAAGTTGTATTTTATGGCTTTTATTAATTGGAAGATTTTAAAATTAATGAAAAATAGTTTTAGAGAATATTCAAACTTACTCAATTTTTAGAACAATAACGGATTGAGCCAAACTTGTCCAATAAATCTTTCTAATAAAAGCTTGTTTATAAACTCATTAATTTTTTTAATAAACCACTTGGGGTGAGTGTCATGTCCCTCAATCTTTCTAAGAAGCTGAACTTCTTCTTCTCAGTCTGCCACTCAAAGCTAGCCAAGCCCGCCTTTACCTACTCCTCCAGCTAGTGATCCTCAGTTTTACTCTCCAGACCCCCATTTTCCTTCACCAGACCCCCGATTTCCTTCATCAGACCCCACGCACAGTACTCCCTTCTACTTGGCCTTACTACCCCCCACAACATTCTCATGGAGTCCCTCCCACTTATCCATATCCACCATATGTCCCTCCATTCTACCACCCACCACCCCCTCAGCCCTCTACAGGTGGACCTTCCACCCTGATGGTCCACCCTGATTGAATCAGAGTAGACGTCAAATGGGCGCATATTGATTGCACCTGAGAGTGACATGTATGTACATATTATATTCTTAATACTACTAAGATAATTTGAGAAATATTTTTTTCACCTAACACATTTTTTGCTAGTTTTATCCGTCGAAGCAACTAACGCATAAGATATGGGACATCATACAGAGCAGGTTTGATGCTCCTTATATTTCTTGAAAGAAAATCCCAAAGGAAGTGTACAACTTATGTTTCAAGGAGTTTAAAGTTAGTTATTAGCAAAACTATTCTTTTTTAATTAAGCTAACAAAAATATTTTATATTTTATCTTTTTATATGCAAAAAGATTTTTACTAGTTACCCGAGCACAATGATAAGATTAGAAAAAATTTTGAGAGTGTATAGATTGAGCTTACTAATGCTTGGGGCAGCCCAGATTATATCAGGAGGAGGGACCAGAATAGACAGAACTGAGCTTTTGACGTTAGGGGCATGGGTAGTTCACTTCATATTAGGGGCTCAATTCCACACATTGAGCATTCACGACGTCTGATAAAAATTTTAACAAATTTTAATAATTTTTTTAGTTATGAATGCTAATGTAAGTATATTTTAGAAAGTGTTATTAGGTAGAGGATTGATATGTTGTTGAGTTGCATAGTCATACCCACAAACAACAGGAGGACCAGCAATGGCTGGATGAGCGAACAAGGTGAACCTACGTGAGTATATAAGTTTAAAATTTTATGTGTCATGTGTAAATTGTTTAATCTTATAATAACTTTTATAGGAAGAGTATATACGGCTTCGAGAGAGCCAGGCTGGAGCAGGTGAGAGTTCCTCTAGGAGATCTGCAGATTATTCTGACTACCGCACTTGGTCTCAAGCGGTAAGTGGAATGCAAAAAAGTACAGATTTATAGATTAGGCTCGCAAGCCTACGCATACGAAGGGCAGACCTCTGGTGGCTCCAGCTTCTCAACAAGCAGCCATAAGACTTTGTATAGCCAACATGTGGCTACCCTTACAGCAGAGCTAGATCGAGTCAAAAAATCACAAGCTAACATGTAAATGCAAATGCAGATGCAGCAAAGTCAGATAGTGGATGAGTTGCAGAAAATGAAGGAGCGGTTTAGTGGAAAGCAACCAGCATCAGTAGAGGAAGAGAATGACGAAACATATTCTAATTAGATTGAGTTTTTACTGGACGTGTTATTACTATGTGTTTGTAGATTTTATGTTGTGTTTTTATTGTATAATGAACTGGATGCTTATTTTAGAACTATTTGGTAATTGCATGATATTTTCTTCTGATCATATGTCTTATTACTTTAGCCTCAGTGTTTCTATTCAAAATAAAAAATCAAAACTTAAAATATTTGAAATTATCTAGTTTTCTTTTTTTTATGAAAACGAATCAATTTTTTTCGAAAATAAATAAATTTTAAAAAAATATCATTTTTAATATTTTCTAATTAAATCTTCTTAGGTCTATCTTTACCTTTCTTAACAAAGGCCAAGTCTAATACATCTACTGATCTACTCTCCTAACAGGGTCATTAGAAGGCATTAGAAGGCCGACATTTTATGTGATCAAACCATCTAAGACGACTCTCACTAATCTTATCTGCCACTGAAGATACTCCAACCTTTTCATGTATATACCCCTTTTGCATTCTATATCTAAGTGTAAATCCATTCATCCAACAGAGCATCCGCATCTCTATAATACTTATTTTATGCTTTTCTTTTAATAGAAAACATTCTACGTCATAAAGCATTGCAGCTCTGACCATCATCTTATAAAATTTTCACACAAAAATATAAAAAATAAAATCAAATAAAAAGTTGTCTCAACAACGCCAAGTAATTATATCAAACATTGGCAGCACTAAACAACATATATTATGATTATTCCAATCAATGAAAAATAAATAAACATATATTGAAATGTAATGAAGAATCTCTTAGATTCAAACAGGTGTTAAATAGCATTAATAGAACACAAAAGATAGAATCATAATGTAATGAAAATTGAAGAACTTCAAGGAGCATAGGATTATTTGTGCTACCTGATAATACTTGATGACCGCATTGCTTTAAGCGTGGTGATAAAAATACCAAACATGATTTCAGTAGCAACAGATAAAACCTCCATAAGATGTGTCTTTACCTATCAAATAGGATATAAAATAAGCATTGTACTAGTACATGAATTTCTAGCTAAACAACTTAGGTAAAGGGACCTCTCAAACTACATAAAGGGCTTTCTAATTAGACCCGGCAAAATATAAGGATAGAGAATGAGAAAGTAACAAGCATTGATGGTAAAAAACAACCTATTTCTTTTTATCAATTGTCTAAACAGTAACAATATAGGTTTTAATTCTGATGACTCCAATTCCCAATTTACAAAATCATGAAAAAGAAAACATTATAGAGGTAAATCATAAATTATAATTTCTTCATTTTTTTTTTTTCAGTTGGATGACTTTCCTAGTTTCCTTCTATGTTTTATATAAATACAAGGAAAACTTATTTAATTTATATTCTCCTCTAGTCACTTCTAGACTTCTTCCGTCTTTAAAAAAAGTTTCTAAGTTTAAGTCTACTTCTGGCTATGATAATCTCCATTTGGATGTATAAATAATAAAAAAATTTCTTCAGCATTTGAACGTCATGGCTTTCTTAATTTCTGGTCATTTCTACAATGCAACGTTCTAAGCGCTTGTATTGAAATAATTTCCTCCAAAGAATGAATTATGGATCGCTGAAGTGTGGTAGCCTTTGAGTTTCCAAAACTGGACATTACAAGGATATTGCAAACCCAAGTATACAAAAATTACCAATGAGAAGAAATTGATTTTGGCTAGTTTTACCTTCGAAGAGGAAAACACGGTCTGCAAATGGGGTATCTCCAGTAGAGGTTTTGCAATCCACCAAAAGCACAAGAAGAGATTACAAACAATAAGGTACCAGTTTTCAAATTTTGAAACAAGCACAATGATAGCCTATGGAAAAGCAAAAAAAAAATGTCAGCGTTAAAAATAAAAAACATTAAGTACCATCAATTATTTTAAAATAATTTAATCATAATGTAAAAAACAATGATGATTGGAATTTGGACAACCTCTGCAAGTTCATTCAAAGACAAGATTTACTCCTGTCTTTAACCATTCAAAACCATCACTCATTAACAATGCATGCAGTGAATCCTAAATCATTTGAAAGACTACAGGTCGAAAGTTAAATCATTTGCAATTGAAAGCTTCCCATGAGAAAACTTGAATGCATCAATTAATGACCAAGTGATCTTGAAGTTTTTTAAATTGTGCATGACCCTAGTTTAAACGATGTTCAAGTGAAACGATGGTCTTCATTTTAGATTTTTATTTATGTTATCACTATAAGGACAGAAAATCCATACTATTTGTATTCTATTACTGAGGAGTATTTACAGATTGCACTGTGATTCGAAACTATCTACAAGAAGAGAATGTTGTAATAAGAATTCAAAATTGAAAGAGCAAGCCTTCAGGGAATTTGCTATGACTGGCTGCAGGATGGGGCGGGGCTGGTTCTTGTGGAGTTTGATCTTAAGATTTAAGCAACTTCAGTTGATGATAATCACACCTCATTAGACTCATCAATGCTACCATCAGGCATCCTGCTCATTCAGAAGACCCACTTACAACTGATTGTATGGTGTCCTGGAGGCAAACACCAAGAAACCATATTTTGATAACTATGAAAGCATACAATCAAGTTGGCATAGCCTCGTGCCACTAAGTGGATTTGATTGCCTAGGAGTAGCAAATAGGCTAAGATTCATCTAAGGTGGGAGATAAGGGAGTATCATCCAAGGTAGAAGGCAAAAGGTGCAAAGGAGACTCGGAAATTTTAGGTTTGAGAGCACTTATTTGGAAGCGTGTGAACTAATTCTGGATGAACTAGTTATATTTGGCATACGATGGGGCCATAGTGGTTTGATGGGTAGATTTTATGCACTAGAAGTTGGTTTAGTGGATTACGAGATGAGCGAACAAGGAATGGCATAGTCATCTCTAAGTTAGGAAAGGGTTTATGCGAGTCAATTATAAAATAGGAGAGGGTTGATGTGAGAGTGATATAGAGTTGGACTCAAATCCAGACATGCAAGGTGAGGAAAGGTGACTTAGAATGAAGGATGGGTTCTTATGGCAAGAAACTCGAAGCACAAAAATCAAATATGGTAAGCGCTTTTATGGATAACATTGGCAATGTATGCAGCATAATACCTGATGATGGATTAAAAAACAACAAGACTGATCTTGAAAATGATGCTTTAGAGTAAGAAAACTAATACCAATTAAAGACGATATTGTGCGATGTAGAATGAGGTTGCAACCTATGCACCGACACTTCTCATCAATGAGGTATGTAGTGTCCGACATATATCGGACATGGCATTTGTCTGACACACCTCCGATACCGTATAGGACATGCCAAAAACATCTTCAATTAAAAAAAATATTAAAAAAATGGACACACGTGTCTTAAATATTTTATGAATTTTTTTAATATAATTCCTTACATTTCAAATTTTTTATTTATTAAAAAAGAAAACTTATTTTTTTATTTCCTATCAACAACCCCAAATCAATTGCCCACACTCAATACCCAATTCCATGAACATACCATTTTCATTTATCAGCATATCGAAGCTAGGGTTTACAACAATGTCCGATGTCGTCGCAACATCGACGTTCAACGCCGTCAAAAAATCAATGTTTCAAAACCATCTGAACATCAAAGTTTGATACCAGCAATTTCTACCTCCATAATCACACTGCAACAGCATCTCGACATCTCATCTTTGACCAACATCACCTCAACATAGACGACTGACATTGTCCCAACATCGACACTTAATGCCCGACTCTTAATAACATTATTGTCTTCCCTCTCAACACTTGAAACACGACATCGACGCCCAACTCTCAACGTCCTAATATTAATCATTTTAAACACAAATCCTAATGAAGTCCAAGAACACTCTCAATTAAGAAGTCAGTACTTGTATTCAAATTAGGAATGATTGATGTATGTCTAAAAAGTGAAAGTAAAAATGATAAAATGTAAAAAAAAAAAAAAATGCATACTAAACTATCAAGTGGGTATGACGCCCCTAGTCAAGATTCAATAATTTCATCATCCCAAAATGATCAGCGCCCTTAATCTACTTAGTCATGTGGCGACCAGTGGATACTTGTTAGCCATAGGTTACCTCATCTAAGAAGACCTCGTAGACCAAGGGTGAGGACCTAGTCTTACATTGACAGATGGAAATTGCACTCCCATAACAAATAATGTATAAATCCATATTAGGCTTAAAATACTGCATATTGATACTTGCCAAGACAGACAAGGCTACATAGGCCCTAAGGTTGATTAGAAAAGAAGGGTATTTCCTCCATGTGACAGAGACAATACCTGAGACGAGGCAAATAACTCAATCGTGTATGATCGAGAATGCCCAAATATCATCTCAATGTGGTAGAGAAGATAGGATGAATGAGAAAAATATGAATATCTCTTCAATGCGATAGAGATGATGAGACAGATATGGACACCTCATCAATGTGGTGGAGAAGACAACCAAGAAGGGGTACTTATAGTTCAATTGTGTGTGATCGAACAAGCCTAGACATTTCCTCTCTGTGGCAGTAAAGATATCTAAAATGGGAGTTTCATCTTGGTTGTGTGTGACCAAAAGGTTCAATGTTTTCTCAATGTGATAGAGAAGACATCAAAAGAGTGATAGAAACTCTGAGTATCCTGATATGGCAGGAGCAGCAGGAGAGGGGGGCGGCCCGGACCAACCCAGTCAGCCGGCCTAACAAGAGCCGAACGAGCCTAGGGATTCCCCCCCCCCCCCAAGCTGTAATTCATTTTAGCTTATAAGCATGAGTGCATTTAACTTTGAGCATAATTTCATATATCCTAAGAATATTATTCCCTTCCTTCTAGTCATGTCATATTATATATATATATATATAATGGGTTTATATAAAGTAGTATTCTTTTATTTGAAAAATATTCATGCTCCATATAATTAATTTTCTATTTTACTATCTTAAAATGCAATATAGAAATTATTGATATTAATCTATTATAATATGAACAATTTGGGCATCTAAATTGATTCTTTTGAAAGAGATTGGATCGTTGATCAAGTATGATGAAGAAAAATATGGCTTCCCTTGCTATAAATACTACTTCTACATAACTTTTTTAAATCAAATCCAAGATTTGAAATTTTAAAATAAACATTGAGGCTTTTCCAGTCTATGAGTAAAGGCTCAGCTACAAAATCAAATCATTAGATTAATAACAAATATGAATTAATAAGTAACATACTAACAATATATTACTATCATAACAAGTCAAATTAAGAACATAGAATTAGAATCCCCACTCTCATGTAGCCGAGCCCACGTACTGAGACAAAGGTTTGATGTTATTGTTGTTGTAGTAGTGAGTTGTTACCTCTTCTCCCTCATCCTCAGTTGTGGTTATGTGTTAGTGATGTCTAATGCAAGTGCAATGTGATTATTATATATATATGATAACTACGCATAACATTTGAGCAACTTACCCATGAAAATAATTGAGAAACTTTATAAAGCCACTCATGATACTCAGCTCTGTCACCCTTATAGCTGCCCTCAATAAGCAAAAAAATATTATAGAAGCAAAGGCAAGCTCCAACAGCAGGAACCACATGCAACGACATCTTCTCCACAGCACCAAGCTTCCAATTCTACAAAAAGGAACTTCCACAAACGTGATTATAGCAACTAACAAACTAAATCACGGGGAGTACCAAAACAGATTTTCACAACTACTAAATTCATAGAGCAAAAAATAACGATACAGAAAACATTCTACCAGTATTTTATAAAACGCTTTCCTTATCAACTAGGAACTTAAACTCACCGTTATAGATGGCTCGGCTCGGCCAGTATTCCTCTTAGCCAATGCAAGCGCAATAACCACAGATATACCAAGCACATTAGCTCCAAAGCCTAAAACTGTTTCACAGCATTAAGGGAAAACATAAAACGAATAAAAAAAAAAAACAAATAGAACTCAAACCACTTTGCAATCATTTATGAATGTAGAAAAACCCATAAAGGATATAAATTCTCAAAGCAGGGAGACATGCCAGTTTCATTCCAAACCTGCAAGCACAAAATATCCATCAAAATTCAACTTGTTCACATCTTCGATAATAACATTAACCGCACTTATCCAGAGTAAGAGAAGGATAAATACAAAAAAAAAAAAGAAAGAAAGCGTAAAAATAATAAGAAAAATGGCATTTGTTGGAGTGAAGGTGACAAACATAATGGAGAGAACTAACATATGGCGAATTAGGGCAGAGGAGATCCATGAACAAGCGGACGACGAAAACTCGAAAAGGAACAGAACTAATGAAGGCGATGAACGAAAAGAGAGTGATAGTAAAAGAGGGTTTAAGAGTTTTTTTATACTTTTTTATTATTTTTAATTAATTTTTATATATAATATTATCCTAAAAAAATTAATAATTTTGAATATATTTTATAAAATTTATGTCATAAAATTCTAATAGTTTTTCTAAAAAATTAGCAAATTTATTTCAAATATTTATAATAAGATTTTAATTATATTTTAAATATATTGCCTAACTCAATGCAAATCAAATTATTTTTTGTTGCATTTTGAAATATTCACAGCGGAAGAGAAAAATAAAGTTTACCGTCTTAGCTTTGTACTAAAATCCAACACGCATACAGATAAAAGAATATTGTGCAATATTCAAAAGGGACACTAAATTTTTTACGCAAAAAAATCCTAAAAAGGTAAAAAATCTCGGGGCCTGACTCATTTTGAATGAATTCACTAATATTTGTTGTTGATTACAGATGAAGCCATTTTTTTAGAAGAAGATCTTGTCTTGATGTATGCACTATATATAGAGCACAGTACATAGTCAGAGAATAACATGACAGTTGTTCTTAAGAAAGTATGACATATTCATTTGGTCAGCAGGATCGTTGTCAAAGAATGGCGGTGGACGAAAGGAACATGGTCGATACACGACGAGCAACATTGGTCGAAAGAATTGTAGTCAGCGAGCAACGGTGAGGAAGGTATATAGTTGACAGATAAAGATGGCTGGAAGGACCGTTTGTCGGATAATGGTGGTTGGAGAAACATAGTATAAAGATGGTGGTCAAAGAGAACCTAATTGACAGGCGACATAAATTAGAAAGTTTGTAGTCGAATGACGGTGTTTGGGAGAATTATACTCAGGAGACGGTGGTTGGGGGAGACCATCATATGGAGATAGTGGTCTGAGAGACAGTAGTCAGTAGGCGACAGAAGTCGGAAAGACCATAGTTGGGGTGGCGGTGGTTGAGAGGACTGTAGCTGACGGGCAATGGAGGTCGAAAAAGGCCTTTGTCTAGTAACGATAGTTGGAAGGACCATAGTTGATGGGAGACAGATGTTAAAAAGATCGTAGTCTGATGACAGTAATCGAAATGACCGTAGTCTGTGAGCGATGGAGGTCATAAAATTTTTAGTTGGTGATGGTGGTCAAAAGAATTGTAGTTGACGGACGATAAAGATTTAAAGAGCTGTTGTCTAGTGACAAAGGTCGAAAGGATGATATTCGACTGGTGATGGCAGTTTGAAAGATATTGCCTGCCGATGGAGGTCGGAATGACCATAATTGATAGACGACGGTGGTAATAAAGACATTTGTCAAGTGTCAGAGGATGTAAGAACTACAATTGGTAGTTGACAAATTTTGAAGGAAATCCGATGATAATTGGTAGCCTGGAGTAAGTACGGCAATAATTAGTGGTTAGACAGAAGTCCGATGAAAGTCTAGCGACGATCGGTACCCGGGCAGAAGTTTGGAAAAAATCCGGTGATAGTCTATGGTGGGGCAGTGGTAGAGGAGCTGCTTGGTAGCAAGAGAGATCTCCGATGTATCTTCCTCTCCTCTCTTCTTTTCCTTCATTTCTTCCCCTCAATGAAGAATGAATGGTTCTATTTATAATTTTGGGACTGGCATGCCCACTAAATAGAGATAAATATCAAGGGCACGTTGGGAGTGGTTCGAATGGACTGTCAATATTGATTCCCTTGATCATAGATCATTTATTAAGTATTTGAGTACCTTAATGATGTTATAATTCAATGATCTTGAGCTCCTTTGATTCATGTTGTATGCTCGATTTGGCTATAAGCATGCAACATTTAGAAATCATTTGATCATTAAATTTATAATTTGAACCTTGCATATGTGCTTTAGGTGCTCGATTTGGACCCATTTGGGCTCAAATGGGGTCGAATTTGGTGTTGCTGGGTTCGTCTTTTTCGAGATGTTCAATTCGAATATAAGTTTGCTGAAAATCGGAGTTCAGATTGTTCAATATTTAATTTCGAAAGTTTCCAACTTAATTTTGTCTCGAGATTCATGCCCGATCAAAATAAAATTATGATGATGTATCATTATTTTTAAATTAATGAGCATAAATTAAGAAAAAAAATTTCAAATTTATATAATATGAAAAAAAAATCTCCCCTAGAATCATTTAGATCAATTAAGATAAATTCATACAAATATTACATATACATGCCTCGAACATAAAACCTTTTAATTAATAGTTGAAGCTCCCAACTAACCTATCAAAATCAACTATATTATTCTCTCCTTCCACCAAGTTAAGAATCATTTCACAATGAACAAATTATTAGATTTATCCTTAAAATCATTAAAATTAATTAAAAATTAATAACATATTAATTCATTAATTAATTATAAAATATTTAATTTATGCTCAAATTTATAGTATATCGATGATAAATAAATTTGATAATTCAAGTTCGAGGGAATAATTGTAGATTATTTTGATTATTTTTATTGTACACGTGGCAGAATAATATATGACTGTTCCAGCACCATGGCGGCTTCTCGTCACAAAATTTCTATTTGGGCAGCATAAACATTTAATTAACTATACGCAATCTAAACCGTACATTTAAAAACGAGTGGATCTGATGTACTCAATCTTAGCAGATAGTGGGTTTTCATTGATGGAGTTGTAGGGCTTGTACAACGCCTATTGGAGAAGATCTAAATCTTTTTTTGGGTAACGTGCCGTTCATTTACTGATGACGGCCGACATCAGTTGTCTTGCTGTTTCTCTTTTTTTAATTCTTAAACCTTTTTTTAATAAAAAAAACAATAAACTATTTTTAGTTATCCTTAATTTTTTAAATTCACTTATAATAAATTAATTTATTTATTTTGTCTTTTAAGTTTATTTTCTTAAACTTATTCATTAATAAAAACTTATATGATTAATTATCTCTCTTGTGATAACTAGAACTCTCAATAAAAGATAGTTTTGAAAACTTTTTTTAATAAACTTGTACTACAATAACTAGCTGGCTGTGAAAAGTATAGGGTTTGTTTTGAACATAATGACAAATTCAATGAAAATAATTGATTTTGACTCGTTTGGTACAGCTTTCATGCAGCCTATTAAAGCAGTTTTTTAGTACAAAAATTTTGATTTAAAAAGCAGTATGAAAAACGTCCCAAACGAAGCCTTCATCATCCTAGGCTGCAATCAACTATACTTTATTTAGTTAGTAAAGATAGTTTACATGAAATAATCGAAAGATTATTATTCATAATCATGGTTTCATTATTTAAGGAGACTTTACAAATAAGGAGTGAAAGTTGGCTAATAATTCAAGCAAACTCACGTTGGTACAAGGTTTTTGTTTGATTTGTTGTTTAAGCAAATCCAAAATGCAAATGCATCCATTAGGGAATAAATTAAGATTTGTGTTTAATCATAATGTAACAATATTATTACTATTGTGTAATAGAATCATAGTGTGTATTGCGATATTATACCAGAGTTGGACATCAATAGTTCAAGTGGTCCGACATTGATGGTTTGATGGGAGGGGTGTCAATTTTTGACACGACCTGAATCCGACCCTGAAAAATTCAGGTTCGGGTCAACCCGAACCCGAAACGGGTCGGGTTCGGGTTCAACAAATCAAACTGTTTTAAAAATCGGGTCGGATTCAGGTTGACCCAACAACCCGAAATTGACACGAAAACTCATATTTCACCAAAAAACCCGAGATTGACCCGTTTTGACCCGAAAATCGAACATTGACCTGATTTTTGACCCGAAAATTAACAATTTTGGGCCAACCCCAGGTCATTCATGTCGGGTCAAGTTGACCAGGACCCAAATCGGGTCTGGTTCGGGTCCGAAAACCTGACCCGTTTTTAAAAACAGGTCGGATTCGGTTTGACCCGAATAATGCTGGGTCAATTCCAAATTCAATCCGAACCCAACCCGTTGACCCGAATTGACACCCCTATCTAATGCTGGTCCAACGATCAGGCGATAGTATACGAATAGCGATTAGAAGGTGGCCTAACGAGGGTTGTTGTGCAGTCATACACTAATAGCAATCGCAAGGTGGTCCGGCGATAGTGGTGGCATGATGACAATGATGTTGCTGATGTTGAGCAATAGCATACTTCAAGCAATTAAGCTCTTTTGAATCTCACATTTACCTCAAGCAAACCAAATTTAATAAAACCCTAAACAATCTAATAAAATACTTTAAATATTCCAAATATTTTGAATAATAGCTTAATAATTTTCACAAAAATTTCTATGCCAATTCCATCATTATATTACTTAAATTTTACTAATCAAAATCTAATCATACTTATTATTCAATTAAATATATAATTGTTTAAACTTTCTATTAAAATCATTACACAATATTCACAGAGACAAAGCAGCAAAGTAGAAACTATCAAAGAACAAGGCAATGTTCAGAATTATGTATAAAATGATTGACTGATCCTCAAATGAAGAATAATAACTGTTAGGATGAAGCCGCAGAGAGTATTTTGGCAGCCTTATTCATGAAGCTTAAGGATTAATAGTAAACTGTTAGCATTTTTAAAATCAGATATGTAATTGGAGGGGAAAAAATTAGCTCTGCTGCTCTTCATATGATCATTGAATCAATCATAGAACATTGAAACCTTCAGCTCGAAGGCATTGTTTGTGTGCTTCGATCCACTTTGTGCAGGCTGATTCGCCGTGCTCGATGATGCATTCATCTCTCAGCTTCCTAGTTTCAGGGCAAGCGCAGCAGATGTTCTTCTTTGGCTTTGGATTTGAATCTGGTTCTGTTGTAAGTGCAGTCTGGCTGATTGCTGGGGTTCCAGGCATCTTGGAATTTACAGTATAGACTGAAAAATAATCAAATGCCTGCAAAGAAAGGCAAGAATTATGAAAGAACGGTGTTAATTACAGTGCCGCAAGAAAGTCTCCGACTTGGCTTGATTTGAAGGAATTGAGGAGAAATTAATTATTAACAATTTGTTCGATTGAGTGGAAATTGAGTGCCTTCTAAAGCAGCTTTTTACAACAACAACAACATTATCAAACATTTGTCCCACTACATAGGGTTGGGTACATAAATCCTTTTTCTCTATTGTGTCCTGTTAGAAGTCAAATTCTCGTTTAAATCTAAAAAAAGAATAATCATTTCTAATATTTTCTAACTAAGTCTTTTTTAGGTTTACCTCTACCTTTCTTAACATAAGTCAAATCTAATACCTCTACTTTTCTAACCGGGTCATCGGAAGGCCGACGTTTTAAAGTACAAAAATTTTTACTTAAAAAAATTTTTATACTTAAAAGCTCTTTTAGAAAGTAGCAAGAAAGCCGTCCCAAAAGAAGCCTTAGTTTGAAGGGATAACAAATAAATTGAAGACTGAACAGAGCCTAATGTTATTCAAACTATGAATTAACTTCACAGCTTTCCACTGATTTTAAGAAGTGAATCATAAAGAGAAATATAAATATGTTAATTGCCTTGGTAAATCAATCTCATTCAAACAAAATAATTATGAAGTAACTAATATTTCTTTCACCTTGATTTCTCCAAATCTGCTTAAACGATGAAGGTTTGGAGTTGAATTTAGGCTTCGTTTGGGACGGCTTTTTTACTGCTTCTTAAAGCAGCTTTCAAGTACAAAATATTTAACTTTTGTACTAAAAAACTATTTTAAGAAGTAATAAGAAAGCCGTCCCAAACGAAGCCTTAGAGACAAAGCAAATTAGTAAACAAAAGCTAGGGCTATATGTTGAATATTGTTTTCTATGACAACAATAACAAAATGTAACATAAGATTTTCCAAAAGCAAATAAGATAAAAATCATTACCAAACAAGCATAGATAGTTATAAGCACATGATGCATCAATGAATTATTTGCGGGCAGTAAAAATTTTTGCTTCTCTTTTTTTCTTTTTAACAATTTTTTTTTTATCCCTGGAAGTTGCCCTAGTAGATTTGATGGTAATGAACATATGATGCATCAAGAAACTAGTCGCAGGCAAGCATCAAAGAGTCAATTTCAACTTGAATGCCATAGCATAAGATGCCTTCCAAGCATTAGAAGAAATTAGCAAATCCCCCCCCTCCCTTGGTAATCAAAGTTCTCACAACCCTTTATAGTTGACGCAGATGCTTCATGGCTCGGCCTTGGAGTAATTCTTAGCCAAAAATGGTAAGCCCATTGCTTTTTACAGCAAGAAATTAATGCTTCGTTTAGGATGACTTTTTGACTGCTTTTTAAAGCAACTTTATAATACAATAATTAAAATTTTTTAACTAGAGAACTGCTTTAAAAAGCAATAAAGAAGCTGTCCCAATTAAAATCTAACTCTTCACATGCAACAAGCTTCCACCCATATCCATGAAATGTATGCTATCACCAAAGCGATCCCAAAAGTAGCATCAATATTGGATGGGATCTACGTTCAAAATTCGAACGGATCAAAAGAGCATTAGTGAATTAATGACCCAAGTTGTTCAAACACTAGAACAACATCACTTCTTGATTAGATTGTTGGGATATGACCATTGAATAGAATACAACTGGGTAAGTCCCATACAATGGCAAATGTTCTTTCCCGTTTTAATGAAGGACTCTATGATCAAAACTCAAGTGCCTCCTTATTAACTATCATTCCCATACCCATCAAATTCTCAACTTTTACAGCAACCGGTAGAAGATTCTCAGTTCTCACCAAGCCAACACTGATTCGACTAAAAAAAAAACTAGAAGTCTCTTGTGGTTCAACCAAAGTTCTAATTTTATGATGGCTTGCTTTGCAAATTCGGTAGCACAGTGCTAGCTCCCTCCTCTCTCCTTCAACAAGACCTGCACTAGAATCATGCAAGTGCAAACAAAGGCCATGGCAGCATAGACAAAACTCTGCACTGTCTCCTAAATTTTTTTATTTTGGCCCCACATGAAGAAAGATGTGCACGAGTTTACAAGTTATCATTGGAAAGATGGTTCTCCTCAAGCTTCGACCTTATCATCAAACTTAGCAACAACCGAAAATCATACAAGCTTACAGATTGATATTTTGGACCTTTTAAAATCCTTGAGCGAATTGACCAAGTTGCATGCATATTGGATTTACCACCACAATCTCATATACATTCGGTTTTCCATGTAGCCCTTTCTCAAGCCGTTCAAGCAAAACAGATCCCTTCATTCAATTCCATTGTGGAAAGATAATTGGTTCAACAATCCTGTCTTGCAGCCTGAAAGCATTTTGGACTCCTACAAGCTATTCCATGGTGGTACTCCACTTTGACAACACCTACAATGGCAAACTCTACCAACAGCAGAAGCTACATGGATTGATGAAACCGAAATCCAAAGGGACTATCCAAATCTTCACCTTGGGGACAAGAATGTTCTCCTGAAGGTAACCAATGGCCACCTCGTTGCCCTGACCAAAACCAGATTGATGGGCTCCCATCCCACTTGGCTAAAAGAATTGTGAACAAGACATAGAAGTGGGTTCAAATAAGCCCAATAAAATATAGGCATCCTTATAGGTTTCTTACAATTTCAGTAGTTTTTCATGTAACAGGCAGCTTCTATGTTGTGATGTAACTCCAACAGTAATAAACACACCAATGGACTCCAACAGTAATAAACACAGCAATTGGACAAATTAAGAAAAAAAGTTCTCCAAGAATCCTCGTACATGCATTAAACATTTTCCTAGATACAGCAGAAACAGTCACCCAAAATAAGGTATTATAATAATTTTTTTAAAATTGAATATAATATATGAAAATAAAAAAAAGAGTAGATTTTTATTGTGTCATACATTAATTGAAACTATGTTAGAAAATTAAAACTATTAGCTCTTCTCCTTCCTAATTAAAAAAAGAAAAAAAGAAAAATAAGAGGCTCAAAACTTATCATAAGCTTTAACTAAAACTCAAATCTTTTATTTTTAAATAATTATAAAGAGGAAAATAATTTTCAGTTGATTTTCTAAATTAATAATGAAGAAAATATATTAGTAACACAGAATACATAAGACAAACTATTATCTCTTTGAGACAACTTCGTTCCTACTTTGCTACAGCAAACACAACCAAAGGTTTGTTTAGCGCACTGCTTTCTCACTGCTTCACCTCAGACTCCAAAACAAATTCTTGTTTTTCAGAACCACAAGAGGTCTTCCACGACCTAAGTTGTCCAAGCAAGCAACCAAATTGAATGAGGATGAGCAAGCGGCACCATCAATCATAAAATGTGCAACTAGGATACTTCTTTGATGTGGTAATATTTTGAGGCTTGTAAATATAATAACTAATAAACGATCTTTAGATGAAAAGAGCTTCTCCTATTTTGTTATTAAAACCTTATAGTAAAAGTTTTTGTTCATGTAACTATTTCTTGTAAAATTTGATTTTATCAAAAAAATTGCATTCTTCCTCATCTTCCTATGGGTCTCAACAATATCTTGGCTTGCATGGAAGCTTCTCTAATTTCGTAAACTCATAAAGGTATTCAATTTTTTGTGAAAAATTTTAAACCGGCTGTAATATGCAATAGCTCATCCTTATTGTGAACTTATTTTTTAAAAAATAGGAAAATAAAATTAGTGTTAAATGGCTGATGTTATTCCTATAAGCCATTATAATATTAATTATATAAATAGTATGAGCAATGGACCAATAAAAAATAAGCCATTATAATAGTATATTTAATTTTTTTAAATCTAGTAATTACATAAATTAATAGAATATGAAATAAATTCAGATAATAATAAATTTATTTCAACTGCTAAAAAAATAAGCAACGCATTATAATTTACTAAGTAGCATAAACTCAATTGAAGAAGAAATTGCCAAATGATACCATAGATTATCCACTTTAAGTTGGGAAAATTAAATATTTTGATTAAAAAAAACAAACATAAGAAAATCATTAGAAAAATACAAAAGAATAAGGAAAATAAAATTAGTGTTAAATGGCTGCTAAATTATCTAAGTAATATATTTTTTAAAATAAAAGATGATAAATGGTTTAACTTAAAAACTATTATGTAATATAATTTTGAAGTTAAAATGCAGATGGCTTGTTCGATATTTCTCAAGCACGTCTTAGGCAAGTGCGCGTGTTTGATTACATTATTATGAAACATCAGCTCATCATAGCTCTCCACCAATAGATTTGGGAGTAATGTGATATCGATGATTTGAAAGTAGTTTGTTTCAAACTTTTGGAACCTTTTTGTGATCAGGATTAATCATACTCCTAGAGAATATCACAAAATCTTGCCTTAGCTTAGTAAATCCACCAAGGATTTTGGCCATTCTTTAGTAATGTTGTTCAGAGTCATACTTGCTAACCACATTTCATTATGAAGGACATATTTGATCCACCAAAGATCAAATTGTCACATGAAATTGTTGGCTTGAACACCTTAATCTATTATTGAAGAAGTTAATGATTTTGATCATCATTTGAGATTGGTGGTCATAGTTATATTTGATAACCACAATCCATTACGAATGAGGTCGAGCTAAATCCACTATACATCTTGACAATCATCCAAGCTTGTTGGCCAGTCTTACTAGATAATCATAATTCGTTATGAGGGATGTCAAATTGAATTTACTAAGAAACAATTTATCTCTTTTAAAATACATCACAAATGCATATAACATTACCCAAGGTTTCAGAGAACATGTTTGCCATGATTGATCTTGACTTTTCAAAGTAATGATCAAGGCCGCTCCTACAAGTTATGAGAGGATTATGAAAATTGCATCAAAATAAGGTGATTGGGGGAACAGATGTAATTTTACAGATTTAAGAAAGGGCGTTACAAACTGACCCTTGAGCAAAACAAACTAGAAAAAGGAAATTCTATTGAATATTGAGGGGAAAATCTAAGAAATAAAAGTGCATATCCTATTAAAAGTACTAGTAGATATTCTTAGCATTCCATGTTCATTGAAGCACTTGTTCCCTCAAAGTCTTTTAGTGTAAAAGTGCCTAATTTTAAGAAGGCTATGATGATGTAAGGATCTTCCTAAAGAGAGAAAAGTTTTTTGCATTGCAGACCTTTATTGGAAACATCAAGGCTTTAAAGGACCAGATCTTCCATAGAAATTGATAATGGATTTACCTTTCAAATATTGTTGAACGACTCTTTGATGTAGGATGCTATCAGAGGTAGGGTTACGTCATGTGTCTCCCATGAGAATTTCCGGTAATAATGAAGCTTAACATCATCAACTGAAACGTTAACATTCTAGACACCAGAATTAGGAATTAAAATATTGATTAAATCAATAGCATCTATGTCAAAACACTAGTTAAATTGTGTCTCATTGGTAAGAGTATATGATGTGGTACGAGAAGTTCAGAGAACATAGGGCAACCGTTACTCCCCAACCCTTTTGAAATGCATCTAAGGAAACTTAAGATCATTCAATTGGTGATTTCTATCATCTTATCCACATATATGAGCAAGCTACGATTAGGTGAAGCAACTTGCTATGTAGATCCAAAGAAAATTCAATGAAAACCTTCCATGTTAATTACATTTCATTATCGGTGATGATAGTAGAAAAAGGTCAAATGGGTAGATAAATTTTAATCATGTATTAGACTGTTTGTGATGGTAGATGGAGAGTTAATCTATTAGCGTTACAAAAAAATATTGAAGATAAACATATAAATATCTCATAACATGTAGAATGCATATGAATTTTTACATAAAAAACCCAAAGCATAAAAATCCATTAGGTTTATCCCAGTTAAAATAATTTCATCATAAAGGTTGGAGATCATCCCTTCCCCAAAGTTGAAGGCAAGATTAGAAGGTTTGAACTATAAGTGATGCCTCCAGAAATGGTGTTGTAGACTATTAAAAGTGGAGTTCGCAAGCAAACAATGGATGGCAATGAATGTCAGCATCAATTAACAATTGTGGTAGGTACCGATGTTCTAGAATGGGTGATAAATGGTGTTGGGGCCAGTCGACAGGAAATAATATGCATTGGCATTTATGACAACTATTAGATGATAGATAATGACAACGGTTAGTGTTAGTCGATGGTGGGCGACGACAATTATCAGAGAAGGAGCAATAATAAATGTTAATGTTAGTCATAGGTGAGATATGAAAGATGGATGATAATGATTGTTAGTATTAGACAACAATGGTTGAGTAAGGTGCTAGCAGTTGGTAAACGCGGTTGCCCTCTTAATCGAAAGGAAGATTGGGTGAACAAAAAAAGCGAAGTATAAATTTGGATAGTGAAATTTTTAAAGATGGACGGTTAGAGTTTCAAACGATGATAGGAGACATTGAATAATCAAAATTTGAAAATTCTCAAAGCCAATTTATAGATTATAGTACAACTAGGGGACACGTTGGTTATTAATGAATGATGTGGTATATTACTAATTTTTGTATAATGAATAAAATCTTGATATTTGTTATAAATTTTAAGAAATATATTGTCTATCCATAGTTGTTTGACTTTTGAGTTTTGATGTTCCCCGTCATCTGGCACATACAAACGATTGATGTTCGACATTCATCGGCCACTAATGCTTGACATCGATCTTTCTAGTTGCTTAATCCCTCTTCATATCAAGAGAACGACCATGCATGCCGGCCACAACCACAATCTCTCAAATTTTAATGTTTTTTTTTACCATTGCCTGACACCATCTTTATATTCAAGTTGTTATGGATATGTATGCAAGAGCTGTTACTTGTGCCAAACACAAGGTGGTTTAACTAAGTATTTTTCCTATTTCAATTGGATTACATAAGGGATCAACCTTAAGTCATTTATCTTTTTTGCTTTAGTCATGGATGTTCTTACTAGACATTTGCAAGAGGATGTACCCTGGTGTATCCGTGTATGCTTGTTGCTGATGATATTCTTCTTGTTAATAAGACTAGAGAGGGTGTTGAAGGTAAACTAGAATTATAGAGGTCAAACTTAGAGTCTAAAGTTTTTCGTTTGACTAGATCTAAAATTGAATACATGGAGTGTAATTTTAGTAGTAATAGATCTAGTGGGGGATTTGTGATTTCAAGCGATCAAGTCATTAATAAGCATACTCGTTTAAATATCTTGGGTCTATTGTTCAGAGTGATAGTAAAATAGATAGGGATATTATTAGTAGAATTCAAGTTGGATGGTTAAAATGGAGGAATGCTTCGGATTTGTTGTGTGATAGAAAAGTATCACTCAAACTTAACAAAAATTTTTATAACATGGAGGTGAGACCTGCAATGCTTTATGGCGCAGAATGCTGGCCATTAAAAGAGAAGTATAATATTAAGTTAAGTGTTGATGAGATGAGAACGCTCAAGTGGATGAGTGGATTTACTCTTAGAGATAGTATACGAAATGAGTATATCTGTGAAAAGGTTGGAGTAGCTCCAGTGATGGATAAGATTAGAGAATCACCTTAGATAGTTTGGTCATTTAAAATGACGGCCTTCCGATGACCCAGTTAAGAAAGTAGATGTATTAGATTTAACCTATGTTAAGAAAGGTAGAGGTAAACCTAAAAAATATTTGATTAGAAAATATTAGAAATGATATTTCTTTATTAGATTTAAATGAAAATTTGACTTTTAACAGGACATAATGGAGAAAAAAGATTCATATAGCCAACCCAACATGGTGGGATAAAAGTTTGATATTGTTGTTGTTGTTGTCGGACACCATCCAACAATTGACATCCAACATCCATAAGCCATCTAGACACGACTCATCTTTTCGATAGCTTGATCTCTCCTCCTATCGAGAAAAAGACTAAGCTAACAACCTTCTATCTTGTGACTCCCGACATTCACCATCAACTATTGCCTGAATTTATCACTCAATGATGAGTCAAAAAGTCCTAATACCATAATAGTATACATCTTCTTTGATTCATACATATTATATAGTGTATTAATATCTTATATAATTAAGGGGAAGGACACCTTTTATAATTTTTAACGCATGCTAGTGGAATTAGTTCAATTATATCAGGCTCCATAATTTTTACATGTTATCAAAATTATAAGAAAAAAGTTCACCTCGCGCCAACAGATTGACGATCTGAAAGAAAAGAAGAGGAGACAATCAACTGTAGTTCAGGAATTTCATCTAACAGAGCTCAAGGCTCTATAATCCTATGGTTGAGGCCTTGGCTTCCGTGAAGTATACTAATTACTGCTAACTTCAAATAATAAAAAATGACAACTTTAAATACTACAGAAACTTAAATCCCGTTCCTTCTCCGTTTTGCCTTAAATCCCGAATTTAGTAAATCCGGTAGTTCGGCGGATTTACGGGATTTAGCCGAAGAAGCGCGAGAAAGGGGAAAAAGATAGTTACTTTCGCTGCGAGCACCCGTCGTGACTTCCAATCCGTCACGAACAACGTCGTCGCGGAAGGCGAAGAAACTTCTTTAGCAACTCTTTCAAAACTATACGTCACGCGAAGCCAAAGAAAATGGCAACTAGGAAAAGCAAACAGACATGCATAAGGCAAATAAGGCTCTAGGAAGAGCATAGACAGACCAAAGAGAAAAGAAGTCATACAAATAGACAGGCAATGGCAGAGAAGAATACCGTCACTCTGTCCCACCTTCGTTTTTGCTCCCAAAGGCCAAAACCCTTCCTTTCCCTGCAAAGAGCGAGAGCCTTTCGACGGCAAGATGAAGAGGAAAAGAAAGCCTACGCGGACGCGGATGCGGACGCGACCGGGGCTGTAAATCTCGTGGATGTATAGGTCTTCAATGATCAATTTAGAGATTAAATAATTTTTTTTGTTGCAATAACATAATATTTTGTTAATTGATAATTTAAAATGAATTATTATATTAATATACAATAAATATAAATTTATTAATGTAATTAGAATTGATAAGAATAAAATAAAATTAATAATATTTAAATTAGATATAAATAAAGTAATGGGTCAACTCGAACCCAACCCGTTTTTGTAAACGGGTCGGACATTTCAACCTGGACCCAACCCAGCCGGGTTGCCGGGTTGCCGGGTTGACCCGACCCGACCCGCGAAAGATGATTTATTTGAAGAAAATATGGAGCTGAACCTGAAAAAGAAGTTTTACTGAGCTGCGGTGTCTAAGCATTCATTTAAGAAGAATTCTTCAGAACCCACTCAACCAAAGTGGATACACCAAACCCTGTGGCAGTGCTCTTCTTGTCATTCCAAACTGGACCTGCTACATCTATATGCATCCACTGGACCTTCTCATTTACAAACTGCCAAAATACATACAAGCAATTTAGTAGCATTTTCATAGCGGTAATTATTCAGATTTCATTTGGGGCAACTTTCTCACTGTCATTTCTAAAGTAACTTTCTTAATAAAAAAAATCTTTGTTCAAAAAAAATCTGTATTGCAAAGCTACTTTAAAAAACAATAAAAAAGCTGTTCAAAACGAAGCCTAAGGCTTTGTTTGGGAAGGCTTTCTTACCGCTTCTTAAAGTAGCTTTCTAGCTAGTAAGCTGCCTAGAAAGCTACTTTAAGAAGCGGTAAGAAAGTCATCCCAAACGAAACCTAAATTGTGGAGCTTAATTACCGACACGTCTTCTTTCTTATGTAGAATTTGAGATATCATAAGTTTTTATTATAAAAAGAGATGTTATTAGGATATCATGGTAGAGAGATTAACACTTACCTTCATCACCTAGTAAAAACTATAGCAGCATAGACAGGATAAGCGAATATGTACAAAAATTCTTGGTGGTTTTGTGCATTTTATTTTCTTCGGTTTATTGTGCACTGGTAATTGAATTAGGTCCCCTCTACGTTTTGCTTCGAATTTCATGCTCTTATTGTGAAAAATAATTCTAAACCATTGTATGAGATTTAGAATGCAAGAGGAAATACAAATTAGAAAACAAATGGGGCACAAATTGACAAACTAGGAAGTTCATTGTTATGCTGCGGGCCCAGGAGGGGCCGGCTGCGCCGGTCCAACATGGACCGGTTCAGTGCTATAGGCGCCGGCCCAAGCATGGGGAGGAACCAAGGGGGGCGGAAGCTCTAGTGGGGCCCTCTACTTAATTAAATTATGTTTAGGAGGGAAATTTTGAATTAGCGGCTGTTTAGGAATTTTGTGCTTTAATTAGTCCTTTGGCGGCTAGGGTTGAGGGCATCTTGAGATTTGGTGAATTCTGAGATCTAGAATTTGTTTTGTGTGGGTTCTAGGCTTTGCTAGAGATTTGGAGAGTTGTTTCTTCCTCTCAAATTGAAGAAACTTGTATCTTGCTTTGTTTTTCTTGTTCTTGGATTGATTCAAAGTATTTCCCTTGCGTTTCCTCTCCAATCTACTAAATTTTCTGCATGGTCTTTGCTGATTTCTCTCTGAAATCAGCCCTTTTTCTCGCTGTTTTTGTCAATCCTTGCTAGGTTTGCTTGCGAACTCAGTATTACCCTTAGGGTTACTTGCAAACTCAAGTACTTCCTATCATTCATAAACTCGACAACAAGCTTGATTAGGATTTCCATGGAAGGACTATACATGGCCCCATGGCAGTTGGCATTGTTAACCCAAACAAAGTTCCAGCATAAGTTTGCAGCAAAAATAAGGTTTGCCACATGCTAATAAATCATGGAAATTATAGCAATTTAAAGAGTAGTGTAAAGAAGGAACAAGATCGCATTGAATTGATAGATGAAATTTTAGAAGATAAACTTAAAGATACTTTAATCGATACCTGCTTGAGGAAAAGTGCAGCCAAAATTGCACCCCCTTGGCGGCCTCCAGAATTAACCATATCGGCAGCACTCGACTTCATCGACTCCCAATAACTGTCCTCCAAAGGCAACCTCCAGAATTTCTCACCGGTTAACAGAGCAGCAGCAGTGATTTCTTTGGCTAGTTCATCGCTGGGAGTGAAGATTCCTGTAAAAGCAAAGGTTGCCCTTGTAACAGCAAGGGGGGAAAGAAATTCCACGTTTGCCCAGTATTAGCAATGGAAAACTTTACTAAAGATCAGATTAGCTAAACTCTAGTTTCTGTTTTGAGAATGAGCAAATTTGCATTATTTGTTCTTTGTGAATTATGTTGTGAAACTTTTTCAATCCATTAAGTACCATAATGTTAGACAATAAGTAAATGAACTGAAGTTGATGATAGGGTATTGTAACAAGCAGATAATATTGGTGACAATTGTTGTTTACCTGCAATGCTGGATCCAAGGGCAACAATGCAAGCCCCAGTTAGGGTTGCCAAATCAACAATCTGCATTAAACAGTAGCAAAATGGTGGTGTCAACAATTACAAAGTTAAGGAACTGTACATGGAACTTCATAATAAAGATAATGCGGGTACATCACAAGCATTAAAACTTGAAGATCTCTAGCACTAAAGGTAAAATGGAATGTGATAAGATGAACAAAAATTGGTTGGAGTTACAAATAATAATAATAAAATCAGACAGATGACCATTGTAGCAATCACCCAATAGTTAAATAAACTACTCCAGCAATTTAAAATTTGACAACAATTGAATTCAAGAAATATTTAATCGTTCAAGGTAACCAAAGTTTCTTTTGTGTTTCTATAATCACCTCTCTCATGAGTCAGAATAGAAGTCTGAAACCAGGCAAAGGTGAGGTCATACCTTCTCAACACCCTGATCACAAGCATATACCAAAGCGTCCGCAAGGGTTAGCCTTCCTTCAGCATCAGTATTGGTAACCTGCAAAGTAGAGGAGATTGGTGCCAAGATTTGGTTAATTAAAAGTGCTCGCCATATATTATTCACTTACATCAGAAAAGGAAAAGCTTAGGAAAATAATAATATTCCTAGGCGTGATGAACATATAATGTGCCTAGTCATTGTTAAGAGGATCGAAAACCGGAGGCAAGTTAAGCCCAATATATTAATAGACAGACACCCATCAGCCCAAATATTTAAGTTAACAGGTAAGGGCCCTTGTGCTCTTGTTTCACTTTGGATAAGCATTAAAACTTCAAGAGAGCTTAGAAGTTCTAAGAATCTCAAAGCTCCACTCGAAGACCATCATCGTACAACTATCCACCATCATTGTTGGACCATCAGCCCATCACTACCAAGAAGCACCTAACCACCATCGTTGCACCACTGTCGCACGACCATGGTCCTCCAACCACCATTGCCAGACAATGGTCCTCCGACCTCTGTTGCCCGACCACGGTCCTCCAACCAATGTCTCCCAATTATTGTCCTTCAACCATTGTTCCCCAATTACACTTCTCCAATTACTGTCTTCCTACTATGGTCCTTTGAACACCGTCACCCAACTATGGTCCTCCAAACACCTTCACCTGAATATGGTCTTCTAACTATCATCGTCCAACTGTGGTCCTCCTAACACTATTGCCCAACTATAGTCTGCCGACCACAATCGCATGACTACTGATCTCTAACTACCATCACTTGAGTATAGTCCTCCGACCACTATCCCCCAAGTACAATCTTCCAACCACTATATCTTTGACACAATTGTCTAGCGACAGTCATTTAACCACCATCACCCGACTATGGTCCTTTGACCATCATCGCCCGATTACGATCCTTTGACCACCATTGCTCAACTACGATTCTTCGATCACTGTTGACCGACTATGGTCCTCTGTTATATGGTCTTCTGACAGTTGTTTCCACCAACCCCAACTAACTTCAACACCTATCATTGCTAATAATGTCAATGCACGCCATAATTTATAAGATTGATACAAGCTATCAACACCAATTCCTACTTCCAACGTTAGCTTTGGGATTTATGGTGGACTTCATGATATCTACCTCTCTAAGCTCCTCTTCTCATAAAAGTATGATCAAACAAACAAGAAAACAATCTTTTAAAGACAGCTCTCATGTAACAGAGTTATTCTAACTTTAACCATGTAATATGTCCTATGCAGTGTATGTTTACTACATTGAATTAATACATTACCCCGAAGAAGGGCATCATTTATAAACGATGACAAACACTAGTGAAATCATTTTAATTAGGTCGAGCCCCATGATTTTTTCCTTCCCCGAGTTTTCCACAAAAAAAAAAAATTAGCATCTCTTACAATTTTTGCACTCTTCTCTTATATATGTATGTATATGTTAAGACAACAAACTCTCTATCTTTCAACCACCATGAAAGTTCTGCCATGCAACAATAATGTGAAAATGATATCGTGACAACATAATAATAGAACTTTTTTTTTTCCTGCAGTTTTTCTATACATTAACATAATACTAGAACATAAAAATGCATCATTTTATGATGTAGAGCTCTTCATATTCTGCATCAATCTCTAGGCTCAAAACAACACTTCTCTTGAAGAGTGAGATGATGCTCTAAAGTCAAACAAGGTAGCTCTAGAAGGCTACAATTTTGATTATTTATGGATTCATGGGAAAGAACAAGAGACGTTTTTGAATGAGTAGATCAATGAAATTAATTTTGACCAATTGACTAATTTTTTTGTTTGTCCGTTTCAAAGTATGTGTGAAACCCTTATGTTTGAAAAAAAAAAAAAATTGTGCTGTTGGTACGGGACGAACCGTCTGTATGAACTGAAAAAATATTGAAAATCTGTATGGTTAGTACGTACGAACTGCCAGTACGAACAGAGAAAATATGCATGCTCGTCTGTACGAACCTGGAAGGGTCGGGACGAACCGTCGGGACGAACCCGGACAGAGAGTTTCGTCCAGGGACGAAGAAATTGGAATTTATTTTCATCTGGACAATTTGAGTCCAGAGAAGATCGTCCCGGGACGATCGGGACATCGTCCGAGACGATCCTGCTTAATAAATATCTGAATAGTGTCGTTTTTTAAGAGAGAAAGCCCAGGAGAGAGAAAAACGAAGGGAAAAGAAGAAAAGTGGATTTTTGGGCGACTTCCGTCCGTTTTCGTTTATCGTCGTAGTTGGGAAAGTTGATCGACTCGAGGTAAGGCACATTCCTCCTTTCTCAATTTTCAGAAACGAGAATTTTGATGACTTCTGTGTCTGATCTGAGATTAGGTATTTTGTACTTTTGATTTTCATACAGTCATGACTTATATGTTTTGTTCTGTTCTGTTCTTTCTGTCTGTAAGCCATGTACTGTATCTGTATATGATTATTTTGATGAAGGAAAAGATAGACGAACTGTTCTGTATTTGGATGTTTATAATAGCTCTATGTTTTTCTGTCTATTTAATATTTGGAAGAAAGTCTGAAGCAAATTCCAAAGCCAGATCCTGGATTTTCAACGGTTATGTCGCGGCCCGATGCGAGCGGGATCCGTCCCGGTCGGGTTGGGTCGTGACAAACTTTAGTGGTATCAGAGCAATGGTTTTGGAATTTGGATTGTAAGACAGAGCTATAGGAATTGATCTGTAAGTCTGTCGGGGTAGTTCTGCTTTGTCTGGATTTTTATTGTGTTGTTTTGTGCCTAATTTTCTATGTGATTATGGATCTGCCAAACCCAGATATGATAGATGGGCAGAGTGCTAGTCAGGCAGCTCCGGTGAGTAGTACTGCCCCAGTGGTTGATTCTGATACACTTTCCCAGTTTGCTACATTGGTTGCTCAGATGATGAGCGAGACTCAGAGTAGAGCCTCTACTGTTCGATCTGAGGAGGTGGATAGACATCTGCAGATGTTCCTGAGATTGAAACCTCTAAGGTTTGAGGGCACTGTTGAGCCCAGAGCAGCTGAGGAGTGGCTGAGAAGGTTAGAGAAGACTTTTGACGGTATGCAGTGTCCGTCGGACAGGAAGGTACCGTTGGCAGTTTTTCTGTTGGATGGCGAGGCTGAGCGTTGGTGGATGGGCCAGAAGGAGGAAAAGTTTCAAGGAAAGCTAAACTCTCTGATTTCTTGGGAAGAATTTTCTGAGGTATTTCGATCGTGATGTGAGAGCTCGTTCCTTTGATTTGTTTCTCTGTAGATGTGATTTTCCTCCCAGGATCGTCCGGGATGATATTGAGATCGTCCGGGACGATCAGTGCCTTGAAAAAGCTGATTTTTTTTAGTGCAGTTCGTCTGTACGAACTGGATTTAGTACTGGACGAACTGAAGAAATTTGTGAAGAAATCTGTCATTTTCGTCTGTACGAACCTGGAAGGGTCGGGACAATCCGTCTGTACGAAATTTGTCCAGAGAGCAAGTCGTCCGGACGCTATTTAATTTCGTCTGTACGAAATTTTGCCAGAGGGAAAATCGTCCCGGGACGAAAATTGGATTGTCCGGGACGATCAGTGTTGATAAATATCCAATTGAGATATTTTGGATTCATTTGAAGAGAGAGAAGGAGAAGGCAAGAGAGAAAGAGAAAGAAAAGCAAAGGAAAAGCTTGATTTTGGAGCCCGCGGAGCGCTTTTCTTCCGACGACGCAGTTGAAAGATTTGTTTGTCTCGCAGTAAGGACTCCGAATCCTATTTCTGTTTTCGAAGATTTTGTGTTTTGGTATTTTTCTGCTCAGATTTGTGTTTTCGTTACCGATAAACGCGCCGCATTTTGTATTGACGAAACTTTCACCGCATAACTTTTGGTATGTTGTAGATGTGATTATTCTGCACGTTTTAAGTATTTTCTGAAAGATTTCGTCCGGTCCGTTTTGATTCTGCGGAGTTTTATTTTGACTGCAAATTATTATGATGTCTGAATTGGTTT